CAACTCCTCAAACTGCTGCATCATATTCTGTTAAATACGAAAAAGAAAATCCATGAAACTATATTTTATATGATGTCCAGTTTTGACATTTCGTTTGACAAAAACAATGATCGGTTTCAAAAATTAAAATGCACCGAGTTTTGTTTATTGTTAAGCGCAAATCTACGTAATAGGCTATCTATGCCGTGCCCATCACGAGTATCGAAACCAGGTTTTTAGCGTTATAATCCTTCAGGCTTACCGTTGAGCCACTTGGTGGCAAACGCACCGAAAACAAACTGAAAAGGTATGTCATATTGCCTGTTTTGATATATTTGTTCTATATACTGCCTTTGGTCATTTTGTGTATCGAACCGATAAAACTTTAGGTTCAGAACAATATAATTTATAAGTGTGTCACACAATCAAATTTGAGAAAAACAAAATCCAAAATGTTTATTATATCGATAACGGACAAAAATACACAGTGATAAAGAAGCTTTGTCGACCGTTGTTTTATAAATATGCTCAAGTATGTAGATTATACATATTTATGCAAAGCTCTATCGACATTTTATCAGTGTGCGTGTTATGCACACTCCGAGTACTCATATTTAGTATTGCCACAAAGCGTACCAACATAACGCATTCATGTAGCGGAAATAATACTGACCTACATTCACTCTCGAGCCATATATTATGCATTTACCATTTTGTCCTCTATAAACGAAGAATTTTCGCATGCTTGTTGAAATAAACCACGAAACAGGTGTTCAGGCAGATATATAAAGAGTTACACAGAGACCGATAGATATGATGTTACAAGTTCAGTACAAATATCATCAATGTTAAACACGTTCGTTCCCCTACGTGTTATCGAACTGAAAAACACGAGGCTTAGAATGTAATAAAAAGTTTGTTTTGTTTTTTGGAAGTTTTCGTTAAAACATTTTTTTATCGAGAAATTCTATACAAAAATTGTAAGTATCTAAAATTGTTGGAAAATCCCCAGAGATCACAATTTACATTCGCCTACTACCTTTATTGTACTATTTTTAAACATGAAATTGAATCTACGTGTACGTGCGTCTTTCATTGTTACTTCTTGAAACATCTATTTTACGTGTTGTTTAACTATTTGCACACTGCTCCAAGAACAAAAAAATCTTTGTAATGGTACTAAGACTATAAATTATTACGTTTGTGCTAATACACTGTGCTGAACATCTTATTACTCTGTTTACACACATTAAAACTGGGACACATTTATTACGTTTCCTAGTTTTTAATTTTCGCAAAGAAAACCCACCAGAAATGTTTCGGGTAGAGTCGCTGATCTTGTGTACATGAACAAATTGGGCTTGTGTTCAATTTGAAGGCCGTTTTTACGACATAATTTCAATATATAAGTGTTAGCTAACTACTACACTTGTAATTTTAAGTCACATGTTTCGATTAAACTGATCAGACCACGAGGTCTTTCAAATAACATGTAACTGTCAATTCTAAACCTAAAAAGCTATTTTTTTTATAATAATGTAAAATCCACTGTATGATAACATTGATCAATTTGGGGATTTTTAAAGTTAGATACATAAGAAAAAAAAATGTAGATAAATGTTATGGTGTGGTAATTTAACAGATATATTTCTCAACAGCATGTAATGCCATTTGTTAATAGCGGCGAAACAGTTTGGTAACACATATAATACTAAAATTACCCTGTCGGCCGCTTTAATAAAATCGCCAAACGTGTCTGTCCTTACCCAGAGTTGTATACCCGTACACGAGGCCCGGAAATGTACCGCCAGACAAGTGTATATGTACTTGTTTATACGTCATTCATTACGACACACGAGTAACGGGTGACGCATGGGCGCTAATGGCTAAATTCGTTATCTGGTTTTTACTGACTATCATTACGTTTTTTTCTTTTACTTCCGAGTTTGTGAATAATTGAGTTGGCGCAAATTCCACAGTAATTAAATTTTCACCCACAGCTGTTTCTAATCAAACATGCAATACAATTCAAGGTATATATACATATTACACTAATATTTCTCATAAGTTGAAACTCTCTGTCCTTTAATGTAATCCCGTGTTTCACGAATTGTTTTTTTCTTTTTAAAAAATCGACATGGCTGGACATTCCAAAACTGATTACTAATATCAATAAAGTTACACCTTTTTGTTACATAACTTATTCCAACTGAGATTGTATTTAGTGGTGAAATCTAAATAAAAATTACAATTTGGTATAAAACTTTTCATTTATATTTTCAATTAAAAGGGCATTACCTTTTAAACACCAGAGGTACGAAAATCCACATTAAGAACTTGTTCCAAAATACTTGTAAGCTAATTAATCAATCTTAGTTGTAACAGTTTATGTCCTGGTAATAAAAATCTTATTAAATTACTTCATTTTGATCATATTATTTCTTGTATACATTTTTATGTAACTCTTTCAGAAACTACCTAGAGACAATAACAGATTTGATTTGCTTATCATTCACCTTAAAACACTACTGAGGCTCTAATAAATCTTTTTGTCTACTATTAGTTATACTTTCAATCTTTGAAAATATAAAGATCTAATACATTTTCTTTTAAGAACTGTTTAATCTTGACTGAATGAAAAAATGTCTGATACTTTAGCAAAATAAACTTTCCTTTTTTTGGTCATTGTTACGTCTACAAAGTTTATTTAAACAAAAATTTGTACTTTTAGTGTCATTTGTCTCTTATGAGAATTTACCTTAGTTCTTTATTGCCATAGCAATGTAAGTAAATTGGATATCGTTAAGGATTCAAAAAGTCATTTCAGTTCCTCATACTGTCACATTTTATAAAATTTATATAAATGCATTACAAAATAGGTTTCTAAAAGATCACAAAATACCTTAAAAAGCTGAAAAATCTTTTTTTCATCAAAAGCAAAAAAAAAGAAACCACTGATCATGAGTGCTTGAGCTTTTGAGCATTTCTTAATCCTTTTAAAGTGAATTATGGTAGTACTTTAAAGGTTATAAAATAAGCTTAACCTATCTTTGTGTCAAAAACATCTCTAAGTTGTTAGCATTTACACAAGGTTGTCTAGATTATCTATGTTCAAAGCTTGTCATAAGGTAATAAATAATTGTATCACTGTTAAATAAAGTCCATCAATTACTCAAATTCTACTACACGCAAGTCATTTCATTTAGTGGAGAATATCCTGCTTGCAAAATAAAATTTGCCATGAACATTAGTCATGCCTGTTTTCCCATCATTTCAAAAGTAAATGTTGAGATTTGCCTGCATTCATTGTTACTTTTCAAACGGTAGATAGACGAAAGCTCGAACAGATACCACGGTTTGCAGTGTATATAAGACAGTTGCTCCAGGTTTTTGTAATACCCAATAGTAGGCTACATATGTAAATTAAATAAGGGTAATTATTTTCTGTAGAAGTATTTTGTTAGGAATTAATCATGCTATTACTCACATTTCAAAATGTTACATAACCTTAAGAATAAAAAATGTGGATTTATTGTATGTTATTGTTGATCGGACTTAACATGACTGAAATACTCAACAATTTCTTTTTGTGGTGGGTAGTATAAGTAGATCAAAGCTTTGGCTCTGAGTGAAACCAAGGTGCAACACAATTATCCTTTTTAAAGTCCATGAAATAATTTAAATTGATAGATTAACTTAAATTTTTCCCATCACTGGGGACGGGTACTTTTGCTTGTACCTAATATACTATATTTTCCAAAGGTATATTTATCTAATTATATGTGTGACTAGTGAACAACTCATGCCAAGTAGATCTACTTGGGTATAACATAAAAAAGTTAAACATTTGTATATTAGAACCAATACAATTTTGTGTCTCAAAGTATAAATAAAAACAATTATTCTTTCCCATCTTTTAGTGGTTATTGATAGCACAATAATCATTTCATAATAATATGATTTCATGGGTAAACCAGGTTTTTAATAAAGTTAATTAGTTAGTAAATATCTCTACAGGATGTATGTTGTTAAATACAACTTTTGTATGAATATACAGTTGGACTTTATAAAATAAAAACAAACATTTAAATCAAGAAAGACTGTTTAACATAGGATATAACTGGACGAACTACAATTCACACAAGATTTTGTGAGACAGGACTTATTTTGAACACTTGAAATGCACCTAAAATATGTTTTGCAGATAAACATTCAAATTATATTTTCACAAAGGGCTCTAGGCTCTTGATATCAATCTTCTCTTTATTTAATTAAATGCACTAATGAGTTCACACATTATCATCATCATTCACAATCACATTAATCCAGAATCTAATCTACATCTTAGCCTGATTAAGTGAGAAACTGCTATGCAGCTTCTAATTGTACAAAATACTAAATATTTTTACCATCTTAATGTATAAAACACTATAAATCTTTACCAGGTTGAATAGAATGTCACTTATTAATGTACATAACATAAAAAAAAATCTTCAAAAGACATAAAATATGAACAAGTCTATTAGAAATACTTATTCAAAAAAATATTGATAATAATTCACAAACATTATCAGAAGCAGTAATCGTTAGAAACAAGTTAAAACATAAAGTTTGGAAAATAAAGCTACATGTTAGTCACAATAACATGACCACAGATATTGGTGAATCTTAAGTCATCATGTAGTTTTCAACTTGTCAGAAACTTAAAACAATGCAGTTGAAAACTACATGATGACTTAAGATTAAGATTCACCAATATCCGTGGTCATGTTATTGTGACTAACATGGAGCTTTATTTTCCAAACTTTATGTTTAAAGATACATATAACATCTACAAACAGTTTATTTAATCACAGAATGTAGGTCTTACAAAAGATCTCAAAATTGTTTTTCCTCTTTTAAGCAAAAGTTAAGTTATATTCTTTTCTTCTCCTGTAATTAAAATCATTTAAACATATATACAATTTTTAATCTTAAATTTTTCTCATTTACCACTGGGAAATTATTAACCTCAAACTAACCTAAGTGGCTTTTGAAGGCTTGTGGCTTTACAACTTGTCCACATTTCTCACACACCACTAGGTAAAAGTTGTCCCAGGAAGGGCAAAAACCAAACAATCCCATATCTAAAAAAGTAAACCATATAATTAGTCATCTAATTTAAAAAAAAACTATATTTGCAAATAATTTTCAAATAAGTAAGATATCCATTTCAAATGTTTTATTACACTACAAACAAAAGTAGCTAAAACAGTTTATAAACACTAAAGTCTAGTGAAGTATGACTAAAGAGAAATTACTGTACTTCAATATTGAAATTAAGTTCAAATACATACTCACAGGCATACTCTGAACAAGCCTTATATTAATGTGTATGCTTAGTAGTTTTATTATGTGAAACACTCTCCTTCTGGTGCTACTCACTATCTGAATAACAGGTTGAGTGTTGCCCCTCGAGAAAACATTTATCCATAAGGAGCATGAGTTTGCATCTTTGAAGGCAAGGATAGATTTTATCTTTCGAGGACTGGGGGAAGAAAATGTATATTTCACACAGGGCACCATCAACGATTGGTACAGCCCTGCTGAATAATATCATACTAACATGTCACCCTCAATCTCTTTAATTTTTTTCTATCTAGAAATAAGTCTCTTTGATTCATTCTTCTATGTTAAAGTTTCAATAAATACATATCAGGTAAAAATAGATAGTACAAGAAAGATCATTAGGTTAAGAAGTTATTAAGTATGTCAACCCCATATAATAAGGAAGAACTGCTACATACCTCCAAGAGTAATCACTTACTTCAATGTTATTTCATTGTTACAATGAAGTTTTCTTTGTGGATTTACTATACGCTTACATAACTAAACTGAGACTGGAAAAAGGATCAATGGACTTAAATACAACTCAGTCACAGAGGGAAGAAAGGAAGAGATAGTGGGAATTTCAATGTCTGAAGTGAATTATATAATAAGAAGCCAGGAAAACAACTAGCTAATCGAAAATTAACAATGAAATATCTCACAACATTGCATTGAACAATCTTGAAACTTGAAAATATGTTATCATATAATCTTAAAATATTCAAATACTCAATGAGGGGTTGATAATAAGCTACCCTGCTGGAAAATAAACAGTTGGGTCAGTACAAACTCCTTAACCAAACATTGGAACACAAGTTTTTCTGTTTGACAAGAAGGAAAACAAATGTGAGAGTTTGAATAAAATTCTTCTTGGACACTTGTGTAAATTCATAAATAAATGAAATTAAAAACAACAATCTTTTTATCATGCACACCAAAAAATGTTGTTGTTTTAAATTTTGTTTATTCAAAATTATGAAGTTATAGACATATTGTATTGGGTACAACATGAAAGATCTTCTCAAGATCTCCCTCAGCTGGAATCAAAACAGGATAACTATAACATAAAGAACCAGACTGATGCTTTTAATGATACTCAGTGCAATAGATTACATAATGGAAAGGGCACCAACATTGAGGTTGTATAGTCTATAAATGCTTCCAATGTAAACTAGATCTTTCAAGCTGAGAAATTAGTCATATATGTCTGATACTACATTACTATAACACAGAGGTTTAAAGACCATGGAGTAATATTGCTACTATGATATTTTTCTTATTCTAAAAGGAAAGCAAGGTAAGATACGAAGGAGTGTTCTTCCACAATTACAGGAGAAAGTAATTAATTCACAACATTTCTGGGATAACAAATATTGCAGATAACCATGGCCTTCAATAGGTAGTCCATCCCATATTGCTGGTTCTAAATTAACTTAACCATGTATGAACGACAATATAAATAAAGCTGTGGGCACCAAGCCAAATGATTCTTTTGTTAGAAAAGGTTCTGCCATAAAACAAAACTTAGTATTCGCTCAGGTGGGAAAGAAAGACATTCTTAAAGGTAACTATGTAAATAGAATTAGATGAAAAAAAAAATTATCCATGAAAAGAGTTGTTTAAAAAAAAACAAAGGTGAAAAAAAAAAGTTTTATCACTTTCAAATGACATAAATGAAAACAACATTCAATTTACCTAATGTACTGTAAAACGTTATAAGCTAGGTATCCTATTCTCAGGGAATTCCAAAGAAAAATTACACATTAAGAACTTTAGAACATAGACAAACGGTGATTTAAAGAACTGTGTATGATTTTGCTTGTTAAACTGGATCTGCCATTATATAGTATTCTAAGACATCTTTCCTGTGTTTGTTAATTTATCTTGCCTATACTTATGATAACTTACCCCAAAACAATTTTTTTTGCCTTAAATAGTGCTTATCAAAACAAAACCTTTTGTATTTAGATAAACTGAGAAGTGCAATGGACCTGTAATAAAACACTACAAGTTCAAATCTAATTTATTTGTGATAAAGAGATTTATAGAATGTTTAACCATAATGAAACATTTTTGGCCCATATTTTAATTTTCTCTGAAAATCAAAAGTTGTACAATGACCTTAGTTATCATTTACTGAACCTCTTTTTTTGCACTGCAATGACTTTAGAATATCACCAGATAACTGGTCTCAACAGTTTATATAAAATACCTATTTCCACCAGAGGAAATGAGTCAACAAGAATTAAATTGCTAAAAAGAGAATAAAAAAAAATAATTAAAACAAATTCGGCTTAACTGGCCACTAGTATACTTAAGAGCTTTTTTCCCCCCTACCTCCCAGGAATAAAAGCACTATAAATTTGTTACTTAACTATAGCTCTGCATTAATTCATTGAAATTGTGGATGTGTTTCAAGATATTTGGGGACCAGTCCCCCACACTTACACACGGAAAAGATGAAAATAAAATCATATACTCTTTAATAAAGTGAAAGCATTAAACATTTAAATTTCCTATAAATGTTTGGTATCTCAACCAAAATCTGACAACCACTTCTTTGCACATCCCCTTTTCCTCCGAAAAATCCAAATTGGCCAAGCCTTTGCATGTTACCTGCTGTGCAATCGAGTTTTATATTCGAAACTTACGTCAAGTTCTTTCTGCACTCAACTCTTCCATATATGACTAATTTTTCTTACTTACACCTTATTGGATTTGATGAAATAATTAAATATGTAACATATTTACTAGTTACATAAATTATACAATCTATAAGGTAAGAAACCCCCTTCCCCTGGAGAGCTTTGTTCCCCTCTTCTGGAAATATCAGTTTGATTTAAAAACATTAAAAGACTTCATCTCTATTAAATTTATCCACTAATATATTGTTTGATCATATATGATACACTTATGCACTCACAAATTTTACATAAAGCATGTCTATCAGCACGGTATTCACACCTACTCATTTCAATGAAATTAAATTATCTCCTTTTGAATTCATAAATAAGTTTAATATTGATATTTAATATTAACTATAAAGATGCTATCACAATAAATTCAGTATCTAAACATACTGTGACATACAGAGCTGCACATAAAGCCAAAGAAGTATTGTCTTTATATTTTTCTTATCACATAACACGATTTAGACAGGAAGTCTTTAATGTGATAATATTAGCTAATGTTTGTATATATGCACTCAGAAATGTAGCAGCTAGAAACAGAATATATTACCAACTGTTGTTAAGGCTTTAGTCACTTGTATTAGAAATGATAAGTTTATCAGTAAAGGACAATAAATGCTCTATGAAAACAACTTAAAAATATTAGATATTCAGATAACTTAATTAATAGCCACATAAACTACATGGTACTTACAGAAGATCTATATACTAAATACCTATCAATAAATATTAAATTGTGATGGACACAAATGAAACTTGTATATGAATAACATAAATACAAGTTTTTTTGAGAGTAAGAGAAGATAGATTTTATTATAGTACAAATTGCTTCAACAGGGATACATTATTTATTTTAACATACTGAACTCATTATCCACTCTCAATTAAACAAAAATGTTTTATTAAATGAGTAAAAAATTTGTAATATAAAAATACTAACCCAGGCTGAGTACCATGACATGTTTCCATTAATGTGTATGTAAACATTTTTTAAAATCATTAATACATGGTTTATTTCAAAAGTTTACGTATTTTTTATTCTCCTCACAACATTTTTTCCCAATACCAATAAGTTGTGAAAAAGAGACCATTTAATTTTCACAACCCAGGTAGATTTAAAGTAATATTTTTTCCAGAATTTTGGTTGCTGCATTTTTTTGAGAATTAAATTCAAAAGATATGAATCACTGATATGCAGATATTTTTTGCAAATGGGTATTTTTTATAACAAGGATATATAAAATTTGATCTTTTTCAAATAATTCTACAATTTCTCCTGCTGAAAGAAATACTGAATAGTATTTGGGTTCAATTAATAATACTGCACAGAGTTAACATAATTGTTGATTTAATCAACTTACCTTCTTTTTTAAGTTTCTTGGCCTCACTTTGTTTTGTACTGGAGTCTCCTTCATTTGTATCTGAAATGTTAATGGAATGATTACAATTTTGTTATAAAGTTTACATTAAACAAAAATACACAAAAACTTATAATATGTGTATGACAAGGAACAATATGGTCCTTTAAGACTGTTCCTGCACACACATCCCATGAAAGAAAAAATCAAACCCACTCCTTGTGTTTTAGGAAATAACTGATTCTCCTCTTAAACTCTTGCAAGGTGCCGGCCTCCACTACTACCATAGTTGGCTGTGAATAATAAATGGTAGTTTTTATAAGTTTACAAGGGGGCCTTGATGGTTTAATTAACCACTTCTGATAAATTTAAAGTTTCAATTCTTATTTTGTTTCACATCCAATGTTTGCATACCCCTATCATCATGTGTCATACTTCCACAGGTATCTTATGTTAAACTCAGTTGTCATAACTTGGTAATTTGTACCCTAGTTTCTTTCACTGTCCTATATTTGTAAAACTATGTTTCTTATCTAGTTGTTTGAATTGGAAATTACCTCACACACACACACACACACACACACACACAATATATATATAGAAATAATGTCCAAAGGATGGTTCATCTACATGTGAAATACACATTCTTGTGTATGTTTACATCTATTTCTCCAAACTATCATACTAAAAACTAGGTCTATATGTATCTTATGATCAGAAACACTTAATTTTGATTACTATATACATATAATATTTTCTATTATATAAACATTTTTTTTGGTGACAACTCACTTCATAAACAGACATATACTTTATCCATCGCTGGTCTTACTACATAAATATATTAAAATATTTTACTGGAAACATTATAAATCATTTTAGTAATAATGTGAAACACATAATACTGTGCATGGTAGGTAAATTAACATAAAAACAAAAACACACTTTTGGAATAATAATATCAGTAGAAAGACAAGGAAACTAGTTTCAAACTTTCATGTGTTGGATTGAACAGGGCGCATGAAAGTGTTAAACTAGTTTCCTAGTCATGTGCTGATATTTTGTTCCAAAACTATGGTTTATTTTTCATTCTAGTAATGTATATTTTACCAAAAAAATCTAATTAAAAAATTCCTCACTCCAAAAATGTACTTAATGAATATCCACATAAAAGCAAACTTTTACTGGTATAGCAACAAATGTTTTTTTTTGTTCATTCCTAAGCATCACTTAACGTACACTGTTTATTATTTCCTGACATCTATCAGTTTTGATAGTAGAAACATATTTGAAATTTTTCTACTTTTAATACTGAAATACAAATATATAGCATGAACTAAGAAAAAAACATATTGTCCATTTTAAAATGTAAGTAAATTACATCACAGCCAATAACTGTATTCATATAAATACAAATTCCTAAAGATTAACAAAACAAAGTAATGTTGTAAGCTATATTTTCAATATTCTAATTTAGATGACAGCTAGAGGGTGCTTGACATTAAGATCAAGTATGTTTATAACAGTAGCCCTAGAATATTTAGGAATATTAATGAGCGAGAGGTTTTGTAAGGTGTCAAGAAACAAGGACACATTATAAATACAAGGATCAGTGAAGAATTGAGTCAATCTTCACTTATTAGAGAGGCAGTCATTCAGTGAAATACTTAGAACGGTGTTAATTATCACATATATTCAGTTATTTAATTGATCATCCATGAAACTGTACAAGTAGGTATATTTAGACATTAGTCATAGTACCATAAGTGAGTAAATGTCTGTTGAAATTGGAAAGTGAAAGCCCTATTTGTGTACTAGGGGCCTACACTATGCATATGTGATAGTAGCCTGTAACCAACCTTAAAGAAGAACTAACCAATTTGTACTGTTAAGTGGACTGAACTTGGCCTTACATTCACCAAATAATTTAAAAGAACCAGCCAAACGAAAGAACAACATTACAACACTGGTGATAGAAGTGGGGTTATTTTGGTGAAAACAAAAATATAATTTGGCTCAGTTTCTACTTGGTAGCCAGATCCAAAAGCAAGATTGAAGCTTTGCTGGACATAATGATACAATTAAAAGAAAATCATGAAGACATTTATTGAAAATTGAAAGATGATCAAGACGTAAGAGACAGGAATTTAAAAGCAAAGTTAAAAGAAAGAGAAGTAATATTTAAAAAAGAATTAGAAATAAAAATTAATCTGACTGAAGACAAGATTGGTAAGCAGAGGCATTTTTAACACTTCAAACTACTTTGTGCAATTTTCGTAGGAGGCCTGCCCATACTTAATGGTACAGAAATTTACGGGGTTTTTTACATTACTTTGAGAGCCTGCAATATGAGGGGCCCATCCATGCATTGCCCCGATGTTAAATACACTGCTGTTGATGAGGATGTCAGAGATCACAAAAACAAAATTGATGAAGTATGTAAAAGTTGTGATGACAAAATTGAAGAAGTACAAAAGGACATTGTTGAAGTAAAAAGTGAAATACAGAAAGATTATAACAGAAAGAACAATGAAATAGGAAATAACATTAATGAAAGAATAAAACATTTGGAAAATGAATTAGTGAATTAAAAGATTAAACCAGCCACTCCTACTTATATATCTGTCCAAGAATTTAAATACAAAAACACTATTTACTATAAAACACAGAATAGGAGAATCACTTTGGTCTACACCTGTAACCATTAATGTTGTGCCAGCTGTGATTGCAAATCCCTCCTGGACTACTTTAACCATGGCATTGGCTATTTCAACAATACCTCCCGATTAAGAAACCAGTAAACTATGATGGAAAGGCACCATTCGATGCACAAAAGGCCTCAGTTTATAATCATTTCCAAAGTTAACAACAAGTTATTCATCTTGTTGCCCATTTCAAAGGACCAGTATTGATGACATAAAGTAACCTTCCAGCTGAGAGCCATAACAAGTATCAAGCGTTGGTAGCTGCTTTATCAAATAGATTTGAAGCGACACAACAGAAGCAACTATCCAGAGTGAAGTTCTGGAACAGGGTACAGAGAAGAGAAAAGACCTTAGCTAAATTTGCAGAACATTTGCCCAATTATTACCAGGACATTTTTCAAGAAATTATGGATTTTTTGGCAAGTGACCAATTTATATATGTCATAAATGGAATTGTCAGATTAAGTAGTATTGAAATATCAACTCATACTGACGATAGTACTGAAGAACTAAAAGGATTAGTTAAACAGAATGCAGGAAATTAACCACAAAACAAGAGGTGTATCAAGTGTAATTTTAAAAAACATACTGCCAAGAACTGGAGGCAAAAGCTTCTAGGGAATAAGAACTCCTCCCAAAGGACATAAGAAAGAGTGAACACTGTTGTAGATGTGGGAAAACATGGCCATTACAGCTGAGATTGACTAATCAGTAACCGTTAATACACCAAAACCAAGCTCAATCAGATCGAAGAAATGACAAAGGGCTAACCAGACATCAAGAAACAGAAATTAGCCAAATTTATGAGGCAAAGTTCAGTGTAGAATACTGCATCTGCCACAAATAAAATAAGGAGTTCATTATTTAAAGAAACAAGTCCACGAGTCTACAGATTTAACGATGGAAAGACTTGCAATATGATGTCCAACACTGGTTCTTCTCTTCAGCTACAATAGTTCAACCCAGTTTGGTGACAAATTTCCTCCATAGAGAAAGATAGAAAAGGAGATGATTTGAATAGCAAGTAGACATAAAGAAGAAAGTAAGAAGTTACCTTTCCTATAGGAAACTTCTCTACATCTCATCATGTGTAGGTAACCAACATTGAGGTAGAGTGCATATTAAGAACTGATTTCATGCAGATATATGGAGGTGAGGTTAGGCTAGCTTCAAATAGGTTCAGTCCATGACCAGGAAATTCCTGTGCACTACATGACCATTACTACACCAGAAGATAAAATTCCAGTGAAAACAAGAAAACCACACGATTATACCATCAAGACATGAAATATTCATACCAGAACTTGTTAAAACAAATTTCCATCTAGCAACTGGATAATAAAAGAAACAAACAATCCAGCTGTTCCTGACAAACTGATGGCTTATTAGAAGAATAAAAATGTCATTATTAGAGCCATGAATGCAATAAACCATAAAATTTTAATCAAATTTGAATGGAACATTGCAAGATGACTTAGGCTAGACAAATAAAATACCTCAAAGATTGGTACAAGAGATGCAGCCTCAATATACAAGTTAGCCAGATGACTTCCACTTGCAAAACAGGCTGAGACTTTAAGAGATAGAAGACATAAAATAACAAAGAGCATTAGAACCAAGTAGTTATGAAGAAAAAAGGATGGTTTCACAAATTTCTGTGAACTATTGGAAGAGGAACAAAGCCACAAAGAAGATGCCTACCCACTACCAAGGACTAATTCTACTTTGGATTATCTATCTGGATCAAAATGGTTTTCACAATTGGATCTTAAAAGTAGATATTATCAAGTGCAAGTTGACAAAGCAAGAAGAGAAGAACACAGCCTTTGCTGCAGGAAATGAATTGCAGCAATTTCTTGTGTTACCATTTGGATTATTTAATGCACTTGCTAAGTTTCAAGGTTCAATAGATTTGAAGTGAACCAAAAGAACTACTTTAGAATGTTGTACTCATCCACTTTGATGACATATTGCATATGGGAGCACCTTTGACAATGTATATGATGGGCTAAGAAAAGTTCTGCCTCATTAAGGAAATAGAACCTTAAGATGAATCCCAAAAAGCATGAATTATTCTGTCAACATACGTGTTTCCTAAGAAACACAGTCAGTAGAGAAAAAAGTGCCTACAGATCCATCAAAGATTGTTTCTGTCCAGAATTGGCCAACACCACCATTTAATCTACATGACATAAGAGGGTTTTTTGGACTGTGCTTTTACTATTGTTGTTTTTAAAATCATTCTTTGACATAGCTTGTCCTCTACACAGATTACTTGAAAAGCCAAATAAGTTTTGTTAGACTGCTTTCTGTCAACAAGCACTCAACAAACTGAAAAAGAATTGACCACCACTCCTT